TTAAGATGAAGAATTTGCATATATGTATTTGATTCAGAAATCCATTCTAAGCCTCAGTGTACATTCACAGAGCAAAATCTCACTCCACTTAATCATATCATAGCAATAGATGTCATTATTTCATCCATTACAATCCCTCTAATGTTCCCCTACGGCCATATAGGGCAACTGGTGAGTTCATTGACATCTTCCCAGCTCAGTGGTCCATAAACCATTACACTGTCTTGATTCTTCTCTGCCTCTGGGTTTTCATGAGCATTATAAGAATCTGCTTAGGTCTGTGCTGCACATTGCTAAGACTTAGTTGCTCAAAAGTCCGTCTTTATATACTGACACCTGATGAAAGCAATAATAAAATTCATGAATTTATGAGTGTTATGAAGTATAGTCACCAAGGGCTTCTCTTACTTGTCAGCAAATGCTGGATTTCAGTTGTTGCAAATGGAATAGTGTTTTTTAAAAAAATCACTTTGTTTTTATAATCAGTTGCTGAAACAACTCTGGTGCAACTGAGTATGACCTTCAAAGAAACATTTCTCAGGAGGGAAGCAAGTATACATAATTGTTTTATAAATAATTACTTGGCATTCTGATATTTTAGTTGAAGACCAGAGTTATAATGTCTGCACAGATCCGACAATACAGCAGTTACATGCATCAGAACTATATTTTCTTAAAAAGAAAATGTTTCTATTTCTCTCAAACTTCACAATCAAGATGACTTGGGAAACTTTAAGTAAGATAGCTTAGAAAGGCATTAGTTATTTCCAAACTGACATTCAGAAATGTGGCTGAGTCTCAGAGTAATATCATACACGTGTGATCTCAAAACTTGGGAGATTAAGATGGGAGGGTTAAGAATTCAAGACATTTCTTGACTATTCAGTGAGTGTAAGCCTAGCTTGGACTACATGAGAGTCTAAGTCAAGAAGAAAGAATAAATCCATAAATTAAAGCCCACGTAGAGACAATGGCTCACCGTGTTAGCAGTACTGGCTCATTTGAGGAATTTATTGTCTACTGTTCTTATCCTTAAATTTAGTCAATTATTTTCAATAAACTACATAAACCAATTTTGCTTCTGCTTTTAAAGTTCATAATGATATACTACTGCCCAAATATCTTCAGTTATCTTCATTAAATAAAAATATGCAAGCCAAAATATGACCCCTATGTATAATGTAAATTTACTATTAATTGCCCATGAGAAGAAAATCAGAGAAAAAGCTAATTTTACTGATATAGTTTATTTCATTCATTTTAAATGTTCTCATTTAATATGCAACCAAATTGATTATTAATGAAACACTTGGTACTTTTTATTCTGAATCCTGTTGATCTGTATTGTATCTTGTTTTCACAATATTATCTTGATTATATGATTTTGTCCAGGCAAGTATCTGCCTATATGAGACAATACAAATTGGGTTAATATATTGTTGAGGACATGGGTTAGGCTCATATATTTTGTCAGTAATTTTCCAGCTATTAGCTATTTTACAAAATATTTCTAAGTTTCTTTCCATGCTGAATTCTTTAATATGCTCACTGTGTTCTAGTTGCCAACATGAGGACATTGACTCTTAATTCTCAATTCAGAATAGATGGGTTTCTATTTGTAGAAGCCTAGTTATATTTTTTGTATTCTATTATTAAATTGTGAGGCATTGAGGAGCTAGACTATAACATCTGTTACAGCTCATTTTTGAGAATTTATGTGGTTATGGGTGAGAATCTTGAAAGTTCTAAGAACAAAGAGCATCACACTTTTAGGACAAAATCATATGTGTGTGTGTGTGTGTGTGTGTGTGTGTGTTAGTCTTTTGTTTTTGTTTATTGCAAGGACGTGATGATGTCATCATTGACAGTAAACATTTTCTGACAAAAGGGCAAAGTTTGGAATGGAAAAATGGCTCAGCAGTCAAGAGCACCGCCTGCTCTTCTAAAGGACCCAAGTTCAATTTCCCTTGCACATATAGTGAGTTACAACCTTGCTGTAACTTTTCAGTTATTTGAAAAGCACAATTACTGTGGGAAGAATTGTCTCTGATAGAGAACTTGTCTGTAAAGAGAATTGACGATGTCATTATCAAGTTGAGTCTGTCTTTTTTATCTCGGCCACTGGAAGAGAGGACACTGATCACTGCTAAAGGGGATCCTCAGATCATTTCCTTCCTTCAAGCGTCACTACTGGAGAATCTCAGCAGTCTCCATAGCACATGTGTACAGAAACTCTTCTGAAAGGACTGTGGGTCTGCTCTCTGTCCCAGACAATATATGCCAGAAATGAACTGGCTAAGAAGATGGGTGAACCCTGAAAAAATTAATGTGCTTAACTAGAAATAACATAGAATCACAGGACTTTTTACTGTAGTCAGTCAGCAGGAGAGAACATGTTAGGCATAGTGTTACCATGTCTCAGGTAAAAGATGTCAGGTTTTGTAGACTACTTACTTAAATCTTCCAAATATGAAAAATCAGAAAGCAGTACCAGCTTCTAAATCACAGCACACACACACACACACACACACACACACACACACACACACACACACAAAGAAAGACAAAAAAGATGAAGACTGCTGTCTAAAGGGAATAATATCATTAATGAAACAAATTTTTGCCTTTTCCTTAAAGTTTTTATTTTTGTTGATAAGTGTGCATGTATGTGTGAGTTTGTGTGTGCATGAATGTGTGTGTGCCTGGATACAGTTGTCTGTAGAAGCCTGAAACGTTGTCAGATATCCTGTAGCTGGAGTTGCAGGTGATTGTGAACCAGCTGATACAGATGCTGGGACCCAAGCTCAATCACTATGCAAATTTTCCACCCCAGTTTCTCTCATTCAGCCTCATGTCACACCCTCTTACAGTGTACTAAGGCAGAACACTGCCAGTAAGAATTCATTTGCACTGTAATTTTTACTGCCAACATTCTAATGGTGACTCTATATGTATCAGATTTAAGGCTGTGTGATTTTTGTTTCTAGGGATAATAAGTCATTATTTAAAGAAGACCTAATGCTATTTATATTTGAAACATGAGTTATGCCAATCATTGTCACTCATAAAAAAGCAAAGGGAGGCTGGAGAGATGGATCTGTAGTTAAGAGCAAAGGCAGCTCATTCAGGAGACCTGACTTGGATTCTCAGCACCCAAACAGCTGCTCAAAACTTCATTCCGTAGTCATCTGACACCCTCTTCTGGTAACCATGTACACTGCATGTGTATGGTGTACTAGCATATGTGTAGGCATAGTACTCATACACATAAAATAAAAATATGTATTGATGGATACTCTTCAGCCTGGATACACTTGGGAGGGCCTAGGCCCTGGTCTAAATAATGTAACTCACTTTGATGATCCCCCATGGGAGGCCTCACTCTCCCTGGAGAGTGGATGAGGGTGGGATGGGAGGTTGGTAGGGGGCATGAGAAGAGGGGATGGAGAGAATACTTGGATTGATATGCAAAATAAGGTTGTTTTAAATTTAAATAAAAATATTAAAAACAAAAAATAAGTAAATCTTAAAAATAAAAGTAAAAATAAAACAGGTATGGTCAAATAACTCATAAATAAAGCTATGATTTATGGAATGAAAATAAACATCTGCCTTTGTAATGATGAGTATAATAATATTAGCAAGAATTTACATACTTCTCTCTAAGTATCAAGACTAGGTGCAAGGGATCATGGGAGGCACAGATTCGTATAGATGTGTTACACAGGTTAAAATGAACCCTATGCAAAATGAAAGTGGAGGAACAAATATTGTTATCAGTTAGTATATGGGTTAGTTTTTCTTTTCTTGGAAGAAGAAACAGAAATACAGTTGAAGCAAGATAAATTGATAGTGAATATGAACTGGGTTTCCATTCCAGAGAGGGCCAAAACATGTAAAAATGAATTAGAGAAGGACAATGAATTGAAGGGTATAAATGGACATGGATTTCCTTATAAATAATGCTTATATCAATTGGGTAATGCTACATGATTGAGTTAACCCAAATGTGATGACTGAAAACAGCGTCATCACATCCTACATTTTGCATCTGTCTTCCCTTCCTAATCTGCGCTGTGACTGTGGAGACTGTCACTCACTTACCTAAGGCCGACCTCAGGGCTGGCTCACTGCAGCATTTGTTTCATTCTACCCATTGTGACGGACCATACAAATCAAAGCCAGTGGCAGGAAGCTCATTCTAGTCCTTAACCAAGAAGAACTGAGAAGTACCACGTGAAAAGACAGGAGAGTGCAAAGAATCAGAGACAGGGTCATCATCTATCTAACACGCTGTAAAATACACAGCAGAAAGTTCTATAGCACATGTATTTTAAAAAATTCACCAGCATCAAAGCTTAAATTCCATTTTGATGGAATGACGGAGTTATTCAAAGTTCAGATGGTAAGATGGTTCAATATAGTCTTTTGTCTCGTTTTTAACCATATATTTTGTCCTGTGCATTTATAGACCATGTTTGCCTTTCTTAAAAATGCATTTCTCTGTGTTGATGTGATGCAAATATTGCTGTATTTTTGCCCTCAAACTAAAATGTCTGCTTGTCGCCCTGAGACTGTAAAGTCTAAATCAAGCTACTTTTCATCATTTAGTTTCTCAACAGCACATTTAGCAATATAAATTTATGCTCAAAATTTTACTTGCATGTTTATGGGATGGTACCTTCCTTGTCATTCATCCACTATATTCTCTCACTTTGTTGTTATGTCTAGTTTAGTAAGACAGAAATGCTTTCTGTTGTTCCTATTGTCCTCCAGAGATCTGAAGAGACCACTTCCCTAATCAGTTAGCACATTTTTACAAGTTTCATTCAAATATTTATTTATATTTTGTGCATATATGAATGTGTGTGTGCCTGAGGGTAAGCATATACACCATGTACTCATAAAGTCCTCAGCTTATGCTATAAAGGGCAGAAGAGGGCGACAGCTCTCTTGGAACTGGAGTCACAAGCAGCTATGAGCTCCTGTGAGTGGTGGAGATGCCTGACACTGACATTGTCTCCACTGCAAGAGCAGCCAGTGCTCCCTGCACCTGCACCTGTGCCTGCACCTGCACCTATGTCTGCACCTGTGCCTGCACCTGCACCTGTACCTATGCCTGCAGCTGCACCTGCACCTATGTCTGCACCTGTGCCTGCACCTGCACCTGTGTCTGCACCTGCACCTATGTCTGCACCTTTTCCTGCACTTGCACCTGCACCTGCACCTGTACCTATGCCTGCACCTGTGCCTGTACCTTTGCATGCACCTGCTCCTGCACCTGCACCTGTACCTATGCCTGCGCCTGCACCTGTGTCTGCACCTGTGCCTGCACCTGCACCTGTGCCTGCATCTATACCTGCACCTTTGTCTGCATCTGCATCTGCACCTGCACCTGCACCTGCATCTTCCAGGCCATGTTTATAACCCCTTAACATATTTCAAAGAATTGTGCTTTGTTAACTTTATAGTCATAGGAAACGAAAATCAGATGAAGGAAATTTAGACCTGTTGAAACAGAGCACTCCTTTGTGTGATGATATGTCTTTCTGCTTTTAATCATTTCACTGGGTTTCAGGTGGGTATTTACTTTTACTCATCTTACTATGTTAAGGTATCTCAAGCAAAAAGAAATTTAGGCAGAAGTGATTTATAGGTGCTAAAATTGCTGAAGACACAAACATCTGGAAAGAATACAATTAACTCTTAGGTGTACCCTGAGAGCTAAAATTGAAGGGATTCTAAGTACTTCCCTACAAACAGCATGCACAGCTTTTGGCACTGGGCAGTATGCCTGGGACAGCATCAGTGCCCGCTACAATGGGAGGGGCTTCTGCTGTGCCTCCCTCTCAGGTAAGCTTCTGTTTTCTGTTATCCTGGCAGGTGCTGAAGGAATTGCACTGTTGGACTCCCACACCTCCTGATTTCCATGGGAACACAAAAGCGGGAACTGGAACTCACTCTAGATCCCCAACCAGAACAGCACTCCCAACACTTTTTTTTTCAATAATGAGTGAGACCCACTGTGAAATTTCATCTTGGCATGATCTGGGATAAAAGGGTTGGATTCTAACACTTTTCTTTCTTATACCCAATAAAAGTTTCATGACACATTTCAATTCTTGCCAGGAAAGAGGCATATCTACTTAGTTTCTCTCTTTTTTCTTTCTTCCTGTTTCCTTTCCTTCCACACCCTCCTTCCTTCTCTTCCCCTCTCATCGTTTCTCCCCCTCCATTCCTATTCTCCCCTTACATGCTTTTCCTCCTCTTCCCCCTCTTCTCTTCGCTTCATTAATATTTTATCAGAATCTCAAGAAAGTTTTATTCTCCTTGGTGAGTTAAAAAAAATGGTACTTATTTTATCACAGAAAAGCCATCTGTTAAACATTTTCTACAAACCAAAACTCAAATGTATACACTTCTGTATATGTTACTGTGTATACATAGATGCCATTATAGATATGTTCTATCCCGTATCCCCATACCTCTTCTAAAAATAAGGTGTAATTAAATGTATACATGAAGAAACTCTGAGGCTTATAGAAATTAACATAATAGCGGAAGTTTCCAGAGATGACAAAATAAGGGAGACTCAGTTCAAGACATTACTTCTTCATAAACTTTAATCTTTTTATTTGCAATTATACCCCCAAATCATATAGAAAAGACAATAGTTTTTTAGGAAATAGTACACTACTATTAAATTGTTTTAATCAGGAAACCATTCTCTGTCCCAGGAAAGAGATAATAGCACCAGCACCATTGTAGACTGATCCATTGACAGAAATGGATCAGCCAAGAAGTTTTCATATCTCTGGCCATTCAGATTTCCTCCATTGCTCATATGTACACAGGACTGGATGGACACTGCTATTAAAACTTGCTCCAGAACATTCATTTTGAATTTTCCCATTCAAAAGCATTTTCCCTGATTATTAATAGGTAGAGAGAAGTTTTGTAAAATTGAAATGTAAGTATTTCTGATGAAAGAAAGTCTTTCAAACGTGTACATACATGTGCCTGTTGCCAGAAGACAACTATGGAAGTCAGTTGTCTCCTTTAACCATATCATTTCTACAGATTTATCCCAGGTCATCAGACTTGGCTGCAAACACATTACTCCCCTCAGCCATCTAGCTGACCCTTGTCAATATTCTTCTGTTCCAATAGTCCTTTGAACATAATTTCTATAATATGTAACTAGAGTTCCTATTTACTGATTATATGTCATATCTTGCATGACAAAATTGCATACCCTTACATTAACTGTAGTAATTGTATGTAGACTTTTGGCTGTGTCCCATCATGTTCCAAAAGAGTTTTGTTCCATAAAGCCTAGGCACTTTGTTATGGCATCACCCTGATGTCATCACACCTCTGACTTTCTCCCTTCTCCTTCTTTAGGCAAACCCCTCTTTGTTTCCAGGCTTAAGAACTCCAACTGAGCAGCATTCATTCCTTGAGGTAGCCTCTATGAGCAGGATGGCAGTCACACTAAGACCAACTTCAATGACTACACCTTTCCCCTTCTACAACAAGTGGAGGGAGATAAGCACTGACGGGGGATATTGATCACCTTCATGGCTTAAAATATTTCACATCAACTGACTAGTAACTTGGGGAAGAATGCTCTTTGAATTGACCTAGATAGACAATTTTACATCTGTTGTGTAATATATTTCTAAAATACTAAAATATATATTCTAAAATAGTTCAAGGCACAGTTTTTATAAAACAATCTTCAAGTAAAGTTAACAAATAACTGTACTTTACAAAGAGCAAAATATGGATCACTTTAGCATAACTCCTACAAATGGATTGTAATTTTAGTGGTACATAACTTTGTGTAGGGAACCACCCACGCCCCTCCTTGACAATTAGACATTGAGGTTCCTAGCTTCTCTTGATGCACATCTGTGGAAGAATACTGTGGTCCCAAAAATTACTGATACATTCTGATATCCACTCCGGCCATTTCATGTATTTTTCATTGAGTTTGATATTTGAGGAATGAATTATACACTGTAAACATGTTCACAAGCAACAACGGCATTCACATATGAACAGCTCAAGGCAATTAACAAATACATGTGAGTGATTTCTTTCAACAAGGTTGTACAATTTTCCAAAGCCTTACTAGTTAAATTTACATTTCTTCATTTTTGAAACTCAGAGCACCTTGTATTCCTATTCTCAGCCACTGTACCTCCAGCTACATGCAGTAATGCCCAGTTTATTTTCATTAAGTAATGAGCAATCCTGCCAGTTCTGAAAATCTATAACCTCAGAGCCCCAGGGGCCCCTCCCTAATGGAAGGAACTCTACCTCTTGGGCCTGGGCCAATGACTGCTGGAGACAGTTGTGTAAGTTATTGAGGGAAGTGTTTTATTCTCAGTGGCTGAACTTAGGACCCCTTTTAATATGTGTCGCCCCTTATAATGACTTAGTTGGTGTGTCCAGATGAACTGTCAATGAGTCCCCTGAATGTTTTTAGTGGTTGCAGAGACAGATGACATGCAAGTCTGTGAATGAGTCAGATTTTATTTAATGTGACACTATCACCCAAGCTCACCAGACTCTTTAGTTCTAATTCACATATGCCTCCTTGGAATGTTCAGCCCAACTCAGCTGTTTAGATTGTTTCCACTCTACCGATATGTGCTTTTCAATTAGTTGCTCAGGACAGTAACAAGAACGGCATGGCAAGAGTGCACTGTACTCTCCCAGGTCAGGGTCCTCAGCTTCCCTGTTCAGTGACTGCACCTCCTCATCCCCATTCTCAACTCAACTTAATAAGACATCAAGGAAAGCCGCGTAGCAAGCCTTGATTAGAGTTCTGCTGAACTCCATAAATTGAATCCATCTGGGTTGACACCTGAGGTAACGTACAAGGTCACAGTTGGTCAAGACACTCATCACATCTCATTTCCATTGTTAATACATCTAGTGTAAATTTAAGTTCCATCTTTACACATGTGTACATGAGCATCATATCCCCTCTCAACCTACAGCAGCTGTGCTGTGTTCTGATGCTCTTTTTTTTCTGAACTTTACAAGCACCATAAATCATTTATTTATTCCCCTGCAAAGTTGAAACAAGGTTCCAGGATACAATTTAATGTTCACAGGTATTTCAGAAATAGAAATATAATATGGAGTTCGATTTATTAAAGTGTTCCTATGCTTAAACAAAACAAAATTATACACAGATAATAATAACACCTCTCCATAGGTTTATATACAGCAAGAAAATGGATTGCTGAATTTATTTGATTTTATTTTGTTTCTACATCGCATTCTGAGCTCATCCTTACAACTGGCCCAGTTATGATGACTATCTAAAGCTCCAATGTTTCATTGAAATGATGTGATAATTCAAGGGAAAGTTAAGTTTCTACCCCAGTGATTTGGAGAGTTCTGTCAGGAATATTCTGTCACCTCCCCTGTCCTTTCTCCTTCATGTTTCCTATTTACTTACATGCTGGAAGACTAAGGATAAATACCTGGACTGTCATCCTACACTGTCCTACAAAACTGCTTGCAAGTTTGGTCACCTCCTAACTTCTGCTTTTGAAGATTCTGAACTTGTAGGATATACTGAGAAAAGAACCTCTAATATTTTAAATCAATTTAATAATAAGAGAATGGAAACCTTTAAATTAGTTTGATATGGTACATATTTTATAAACAATAATTCATTCTCAATGTACATTTAAAACTTCTATACGTATTACTTAAATATATACCATTAGGATTGACATGGAGCAGTCTGGCAAATTTTATTTGAAATAGTGTATTGGTGCCTGTTTAGTTATGGATATTAGACATGTGTTTATTCATGTTTTTTAAATAGCATAGGATTTCCAATTTAAGGACCATAACTAAGTCACACAGTGAATATTTTCACAATAAAGAATTGTATTTAATATCTAGTGACATGCATTGCTGGATGCCATGCATATAATGCAGCACTCATGAACAAATAACACTTGACATCCTTGTGCAGGAGATGCCTGACTCATTCTGGTTGGCGAGGCTACCTCTCTCTGCCTGTGACCTCCTATTCACTTAACATAATCATTATCCTTAGTCTGAGACAAGCCAACAGATACAACACCCACTTGCCAGAAAGCCAGATGTTGGCTGAGCACACTGCATGACTCAGGGTTTCAGAGTGCTCCCCTGTTGTCTCCAGTCATCTGGGGTTACCTGTTTCACCTGCCATGCTCGTGCAAGCCAATAAACAAAATGAAATCATTGTGTACCACCTTGACTACATTTCTGTAATATCCTAGTGCTTACTTTTATTCAAACTAAGTGTTTTTACTTCAGACACAAAGTACCAATAATTTGAGCACATGTTAATCTGGAGTTTACAGGGGTAGTCCCAGGAAAGAGTAGCTGCTGAGAAGACACACATGACTTAACTGTTATG